CGGAGCACAGGGTCAACTGCACGAGGGAATCAGTGCTAATCACGCTGCAACACGGGTGAGACGTGGAAACACTTAGTGAAAGGAGTCGGAAACAAAAAGGCACTTGCTATGTGATTACATTTATGTGAATTGTTCAGAGTGAAAATCTGGGGTGCCTGGGGGGCTCAGTCGGTTAAGCGCCAGATTCTTGATTTTGGCACAGGTCATGATGTCACGGTTCATGAGATCGAGCCCCACATCAGGCTCTGCACTGACAGCGTGGAGCCTGCTTGGGATTCTCTCTCTGCCCCTCCTCCCCGCCTCAAAATAAATAAAGTTAGAAAAAAAAGTATGCCAATCTGCAGAGATGGAAAATTGATTGGCGCCTGTCCTGGGCTGGGCTGGAGGCAAGGAGGGCTGATGAGCTGTCTGGACCAGCGGAACAGCACTGTAAGTGTCCTGAATGCCTCTGATTTATACACTTCAAAATGCTTAGTTTTATGTTAAGAGAATTTCACCTCAATTAAAATACAAGCCAAGAGCAAAGTCCTGGAGGCAGGCCTCACAGACAAATAGACAGACACAAGGACCCACTGTGTCCCACTGGAGGCTGGAGGCTGCGAGGATGCCGACTCGTTACTCTGAAAACTGATAAGGAAAAACTTAAGTATTTACCCTGCCTTTTCAACCTGAATCACGCTTCCTGGCAAACCCATGGTCCTCGTGAACACGGAACATTCTTCTAAAGAGAAGAACTCGAAGCTCCTGGCGGCTCAGTGGGTTGAGCATCTGACTCTTGACCTCATGTCAGGTCTTGATCTCAGGGTCATGAGTTCAGGTCCCGCACTGGACTCCACACTGAGTGTGAAGCCTACTTTAAAAAATAAAGAGACGAACTCAAGAAATTAGTTTCAGAGGAAGTGAGAGAGACGTTTTAATACCTTATTGAAACATCAGTTCTGATCATTTCTACGGATGTTAAACCCTTAGGTGGAAGGTTCAGTGAAACTTACCTGGGGGCGGACTGTCACCTGAATCACTGTGGGCCTCAGCATCGTGGGAAGCGAGGCGACAGCCAGGACCCGCCCCCCGACACGACCAATGCCAGCTTCGCCTCTGAAGCAGTCACGGAGACAAACCAGCCGGAATCGACACAGCCACTGGATTTCATTTCGAGCTGCAGCAGCGTGGGAGCCTAAACTCAGCACACGGGGCATCGGAACAGAGACCCCTGGCGTGATCATCCGCCAGTCGACCTGGGGGTGGAAGCCACAACGTGGGGGAGGGGAAGGACCACGTCCCCATCTGTGGGACTCGGGGGACGCAGCATTCATACACCATATGCAGAATCTGTCTGGACCTCGGTTCAAATGAACCTACTATTAAATTACAGTTTAGAGTGGATTTTGCACATGGACCAGCATTACGTTCAATGAAGGAATTCTGTTTGTTTAATAAAGTGTGACACAGTGTGGCAGCGAGGGGACGGACACACAGTGCGGCAGCGAGGGGATGGACAGCTTTTGGTGGGAGACACGTCCAGGGGCGCAGTGACAGGAAACACGCAGTTTGCTTCACAACACGGTGCTGGGCGTCCACCACCCGCAGGCGTCTTCCCCGCCCAGCTGCCTGCCCACGTGGCCCAGAGCCACACCGAAGGCACCCCGGGCAGGAAGCCCGCTGGCGACATCTCAGGCTCCACCAGACAAGGGTGGTGACCTCACCCCGGGACGACCGCAAGGTGAGCTACTCTAACCCTTTTTAAAACAGGGGGCGGCCCTAGATTCACCAGGACCGCGGCCAGCCTGCAGGAGAGGCCCACACGAGGGCCAGATGGCTGGGAGGTGGGCACTGTCTGACCTTGCGATCCGGGCCCCAACGCTACTTCGGGGGCAAAGTCAGACACAGACGCACAGACGGTTCCCTTTACTCAGGGGGGAGGTTGGTTCTTAGGCAGGGAGGGAGGCGGTCATGCTGCTTCCCTTTTCTTTGTTCAATCCAGGCTGTCTGTCCTGTCCCGGCAGGACATCCAGCTCCGCCCGAGCTTCAGAGGAAGACACGTGAGGGGGGGGGGTTCCTACAGAGGGTCCAGACAGAAGTTAGGGAACCAGAGAGGAGCCCCGGGAGCTGGTTCCCCGGGGCTGGCGGGCCAGGGAGGGGAGGCGCTGCAGGGTCTGGAGAGAAGCGGGGCTCACAGGCTCGGTGGCCCTGAGCTGTCCCCCACGGCTCCTGCCTGCCCCGGGCATAGCCAGCAGGGATGACCCCAGCCCCTCTCCCCACCCCCAGTCAGGGGCTCCTGCTGGTGGGGCCTGAACACAAGGCAGGAGGCCGGGAGCCACGCCCACACGGCCCGCAGGTCAAGGCGGGGAGGGAACAGGGTGGACACGCTAGAGCGTGGATCAGGGACAACAGAGGGTGTCCTGCACCAGGGTCACCTGGAGACATCCGAGGTCTCACCTGACGACGTGGACACCTGGATGCTCTCAAACGGTCGAGGGCTCGTCAACGCTGGACTCTGTCCACCTGGCAACTGTGAGGGTCCCCTTGGGGTGGGGGGCGGGGGGGGGCACACGCTCCGGGTCTCACCGCCCCGCCTGGGTGCCTCGTCCTGCCTCCTGACGGCCCTCTGCCACCTGAGCCCGGGACTGTGGTCCAGGCTCTGCGTTGTTGCGTGATGTTGAAGAACCGCACGGCCCGGAGGTGGGGACTCCCACTCTCTCTCCTCAAACTGCCCTGGTTCCACTGAGACCCGCAGTAAAGGGCAACAGCAGAAATAAATCTTCCCGCGGAAAACTAATAAGAAATGGGGCTTTGTGCCTTTGGCAAAAGGAGCCCAGAAATGCAATAATTTCTTGGCCTTAACGTCCCATCCACGGGCTCTCGTGAAGGAATATTTGTTCCGATCCCAAGATGAGCAATTATGAGACTCCTGCTTGAGTGAAAAGCCTCTGGTCTGCAGACGGCTTTAATTTTGCAAAGTGCCCGATCCCAAGGCCTGGGGCCTGGCTGCTTTCCAGGGGCAGGGGCGGCCCCCCCGGGAGAGACGGAGTCAGGAAAGGGGCCCCGCCGCAGAGCCGAGCGCACGAGCAGGCCCAGGTGGCTGTGGGGTCCCCGGGGGGCCGATGCCGGGGAGGCCACACGGGGGTCACTTCTACCCCGCGGCCCCCATGCACGGAATACAAGTACCTCGTAGACCACTGGGAGGGGAATGGCTGGACCACATGGGATTCCCTTGTTTGGGTCTTTACAAACCCCCTGCTGTGTCCCACAAGGGATGCTCTACGTCCACTAGCAACACACATGGCTGCCGGCGCCCGTCCTGGCCGACACTCACTGTGCTCTGTGCTCTGAGGGTAGCACTCCCGATGGTGGGGGGCCTTGCCACTGTCCTGTGTCCCCCGAGGAGGAGTGAGGGGCGTCCCAGTCGGTGCTGACTGGCCATCTGTGTGTCTTCTCCAAGGACACGGTTGGTCCAGGTGTTCGCCCATTTTTTAATGGGATCATTTTGTCACGGAGCGGTAGTTTGCACAGATCCCGGGTGTCAATCCCTTATGGGGTAATGAAGACATGCTCTCCCGGTCTGTGGGCTGTGGGACGGAGCCCTTTGATGTCCCAAAGATTTTCCTTTTGTCAAAGTCCAATTTATCTGCTTTCCTTGTTGCCGGTGCTTTGGGCGTTATGTCCAATAAACCCCTACAAATGCAACGTCATGGGGGCGCCCGGGTGGCTTAGTCGGTTAAGCGTCCGACTTTCGCTCAGGTCATGATCTCGCGGTTCGTGGGTTCGAGCCCCGCGTCGGGCTCTGTGCTGACTGCCAGCTCAGAGCCTGGAGCCTCTTTCAGAGTCTGTCACTCCCTCTCTCTCTGACCCTCCCCTGCTCATGCTGTCTCTCTCTCTCCT